ATTAAATTCATATTTTTTCAAAAATCGATATTCTCATCCACATTAAATAAAAATAAAAAAATTATTTGTTTAATTTTATGTAAGCGTTTAATAATTGTTATTTTTATTTTTTTACACAATCTTATAAAATACTAAAGCTTTTTTTTTAAAAAAAAATTTAATTTTTTTTAGTTAATAATCCATTGATTAACAAGGATAAATCCTTTTTATAAAGGAAAAATTATTAAAAAATACAAATAAAAAATAGTTAAATACAAATTTTTTGATTAAAAAATTATAAATATATATTTTTTTATCTTTGATTTTATATATCTTTATAGATCTACGTCATAAAACGACTATCAAACTGAAATGATTTTTCTAAATAATTTTATATATTTTATTCAATCCGCAGTATTGCATGGATAAAAAATCTATTAACTGCCGTAAAGAATTAAAGCAATTGTTACTTGAGTGTGTGCACGCGCTTGTGTGTCTATATATACATAGGTTACGGAAATTAAGGAGAGTGTTTTTTACTTACATGATTCAATTATAGAAAATTAAATAAAGGTAATTTCAAAAGAAAAAGAAATTAAGGTGTTTGAGATTGGCTCGTACGGCGTAATCGGAGGAGAGCGTCTTTATGATTATGATATACTATAATAACAATTCTTTGAACTTGGATTCATTACGATGGTTGGATGGATGAGAAGGAAACCAGGTATCCATTTTTTCCCCCACCTTTTTCTCTCTTCTCATCATCCTTCCAAACTAAATCAGGAGAGCGTGATTTTGATAAATGTACTGGAGCTGATCTATTTATGTGTTGATATATACTTGTCCCGTGTAGTGTTTTCTTGTATGAAAAAGCACATCATTCAAATTTCTTTTGAAAAATCAAATCTCTAACAAAAAGGTGTAGAAGCCACGCTGAAGGTTTCCTCATTTAAGCTGAAAGAATGTCTAACGAGAATTCATGAAACCGTGCTGTGATGTTCCTCATATAATGAAAGAAGCTCCATATCCATTTTAGGTTCGAGGAACTGCAATGGTGTCTATATTAGATCAGCACTCCCATCTGGTTCAAAAAATCAAAGCTTTGGTGAGCTTCAGTTCCAATCAAAACCTAATGATCCATCTCAATTAGTAGACGTTGTCCTTAATCCCAGGATTGCTATCATTTTCCTCATTTTCATCCATCAAGATTTACTCCACTCGGCTGCTTAAAATGAGGATGCCTCATTTTCATCTGGTCAAGGATTTAGCAAATCCGGAAGAAACCTTTGTGCAACAATATAATTGTATTTAGGCAAAATATAGATCTGGCTCCTATCTTCCATGCAGACTAGTAACCTAATTTTTCTGTTCGCAAACCACACTCAGCCTCTTAATTTGAATGAATGCCGAAGGCAAAGAATGTACGTCGCATGTTTGGGCTGACTAAAGACTTGTCACATCAAAACCTGATGACTTGCAAATGCAGCAGCCGGCAGACAACATATGCGATATCTCTGCATCTTACGTTATCGAAGGGAAGGATAAGAAATCAAAGCTTTATCAGCATGTGTTCAGTGCTAATGTAAAATCAGCCCCTAGCTTCATTTCATTTTTCAGACAGTTCAAAATTGACCTGATGTCCATCCATCCTGGATGGCTCTTATCTGAGGAGATAAAATCGTGGATGACTCCATCCACAACCACACTGCTGTATCCAGCAGTCTTCTTCACTCCTCTACTTTCCATGGTTTCCCTAATCTTTTTAGAGTAGCTCCACCTTCCACTAGCAGCATATATGTTCGACAGCAACGTGTATCCACCTTCTTCCTCAGGGTCTAAATTCAGCAACTCCCTGGAAGCTATCTCTGCCATTTCCACATCTCCTTGAGCTTGGCAAGCATTTAGTATTGCCCCCCAGATGGATCGACTTGGTTTCATGGGCATCTGATCAATGATATCTTTTGCCTCAGGCAACCTCCCTGATCGTGCTAAAAGATCCACCAGACATCCATAGTGTTCCACTCCTGGTTCAATGCAATAGTCTTTCATAGAACTAAATACTTTCATCCCTTGATCTACAAGTCCACTGTGGCTACAAGCTGAAAGAACAGAAACAAAAGTCACGTTGTCTGGACTTACATCTTCATGCATCTCAGAAAACAGTTCCAATGCTTTGCTTCCATAACCATGGAAAGCGAATCCTGTTATCATTGTTGTCCATACAGTGACATCCTTTTTATTAACTTCCTTGAAAACCCTAAACGCCGTTTCAATACTTCCACACTTGCAATACATGTCAATCAATGTTGATCCCAAGAAAGCATCTAACTTGATTTGCATTCTAATTACCCGCCCATGTGCCCACCTCCCTTGGTTCAGAGCTCCAGTTTCTGCTGCGGCAGAGACTAAGCCAATCACTGTGACAGTGTCAGGTATAACATTCTCTATCACCATGTCTGTCATTAGCTCGTTTACCATTGCAAAATCACCCCTATAGGCATATCCAGTAATCAAAGAATTCCAAGAAACAATATCCCTACAAGGCATTTGATTAAAAAACATCCGCGCCTGCTCCAATTCACCCACCTTAGCACACCCTGCAATTATCATGTTCCAGGAAACAACATCCTTCTCCTTTAATGCACTAAATGTCCTCAAAGCAAGCTCCAACTCTTGGCACTTGACATACATATCCAAAAGAGCATTACCCAAGATCAAATTCGACGAAATAATAGACTTCCTCCTTTCCATCCACCCATGAACAGCCTTACCAAACTTCACGTCTCCTAATTGCCCACAAGAAACAAGCAAACCCAATATAGTATACTCATCAGGTTCAAGACCTAAACCGACCATTTCATGAAACAATCTCATTGCTTCCAAACCAAACCCTTTTTTAGCATAACCAACAACCATAATATTAAAAGAAACAACATCTGGACTAGGCATCTTTTCAAATACCTGACGTGCAAGTCTCACCAGTCCATTCTCTAAGTACACCTTAGTAAGGGTGTTTTGCAAATACCCAAAGGAGAACAATCCTGTAACAATAGCCTGGCAATGGATTTGCTTCACTTGTGATATAAAGTTGACAGCTTGAAGCAAATAAAGTAGAGTCTGCTTATCTGGGCATACACCAGAACTCAACAAAACACCATACAAATAAAAAGATTCAATCTTTTTCAGTGAAGAAAAAGCAGAAATCAATGTATTGTAAATATAAAGATTTGGGTTAGGAGTGAAGTGATTAAAGAGAGTAATTGCCAAGTCTAAGTTACCAGGGTGTGAAATAGCTGAGAAATAAATGAGTCTACTCATTGGAAATGTTTTGCCAATGAGTTTACTACTCCTCATAATCTGACACAAAATCTGCTTGAAATGATCTCTGGTTTTGCATTTTTCGAGCAAAACAAGAGATGGGTGATTAAGGTCAAGTGATACTGTAGGATCCCATGCGGTGTTGTCTGTCCTCTTGCATGCAGTGTAACTAAGGAAACGGATACCTCTCCCATAACGGTACATAGATGGGAGCGGATGATGCTGATATGCTAAACCCAACTAACAATGTTGTTGTTTGGTACTTTTTTACTCAACATAATTGAGCGCAACTAATCACTTAGATTGTCAAACAATGGCATTGATGTCTCAAAAGATAGAAGGGAACTTCAGAGAAGAACAGTCTATAATGATATTTCTTTCAACATGTCCACACATATGGAAAGGAGGCAGATGTTATACCTATTATTTGGGATTATTAACATGTAAAGGAGTCGGTTATATCAATGTATCGATATGGGCTCTGCTTTTTTATTGTTAGGAGGAAAAAGAATAGTTACAAGAGAAAATAGAACATAATTAAAGTAATAAGGATGGCAACACAACAATAAAAAGCCTAAATAGAACATGAAGCATTACAAAATATCATAGAGAAGTTAATAGCTTATAAAACCACCTACAACAATAAAAGAAACATACACTTTCAAATTATCAGCTATATTTTTCAAATACCTAAAACATAATAGATTATAATTTGTAGGCCGTAAGAAAGTAAATTATAATCAACTAGACAATAATTATATATTGATAGATCATCCGTCATTGGATTGTTACTTTCGTTGCAACACACACATATCCCGTCTTTCAATGTTTGAAGTTCCAATTGATGTTTGTTAATCAATTTCTATATCCGTTAATCTTTGTATTTCCAATATTATTATTATTTGTACGAACTTTTAATGATATATTGATTTTAGTTTTATCTACCTCTGCGATCTATAATTTCTTATTGTGAGAAACGAAGTTAGTTTATATTTTGAGATACTCGTTTTCATTAATATTTACTTAGAGATACTCGTTATAAATTTTTTTATTTCAAAATCCTCTTAATTGAAGCCGGCACAAAAAAATTCACAACGGATACTATAATAAAAACATGCATGATATTTTTGAAATAAATCTTCTAATTTGTGATTTTTCCAATTTTTTCGTAATGGTTTTTTTTTTTTTTTTTGGGTGTGATCGTAATAATAATAAAAAAATTTCTTTAATGAAATGATCACTTGGAATATAGAGTCACTCTTAGAACAATGTTTTTTTAATGAAAAATATAATTTTTTTCCTAATTAAATTTTATTAAATAAGTATATATATATATATATATATATATAAACAATTTCAACGAAGAACATAATGGGAAAACAACTTAATTGAAACTCCTTTTTTATCCTCACAAAATTTGAAGTTATTGTGGTATTTATAAGATATATAAGATGCACTCACAAGAATTTTATTTTTCTTGTGGTTTCCCTACTGAGAATGTTTTTTGTTTTTTGAAGGGTATTCTTATACTAGGTTTCATGAATTGTGATTGAGTCTCTAGTGTTTCATCATAGCATCCAAACATTTAGAGGTTTTTATTTCTGCTTTAGACGGCATCCTCTTCAATTTGAATCAAGATGTAAACCCATTTCTCCAACTTCAATTCTTGGAAGAAATTTTAACCCGAATAAAACAACCCATAGCTAAGACTGATGAAAGCCTGGCCACTCCTGACCCACCCAAACATTAAGGAATGTTCTGGGATGGAGTCTTGAGCCAAACTGGGTCCTTTTTCTTAGTTTAAGTTTTGGGCCGAAGGAGTATTTTGATACTTTAGATTGAGTTTTCTGTTGTAGCCCAGTTGAACCCGAAACTGAGACCAGTCTTCCTGTTAGGTCTAAAAAGCTATGTTCTCTGATAATTCTTTCCATTTTTAAACAGAGCTTGCATCTGACAAGTGGTACAAGCTCTAAGCTCCACGACTTGGCCCATAAAGTTCCCTCATTTAGTGGGAAAAAGAAAAAAGAAAATATCTGTATGAGACCATGTCGCAGTAATGTTTTTTATATTACCGGCCCTATCTCTCTCTCTCCAACAGTTCATCCTTCAATAATCATTCAAGCGAGAACTTGCAATTTTTGGTTTTTAATTTTTTGAGGATGGAAAGAAAGGGCTCCATTTACTTTTTCAGAAAAAACAAAATCACCGAATAAACAATATAAGCAAGGCAATTATTTTTGTCAAACAAGAAGCTTCTTAAGTAACTTTAGAAGACAAACTACTATTATCTATTTCAACTTGCATACAAATTTCTCCAAATACATGATATACATGCCCATCAATCCCTTTTGAAAGGCCCTACATTCCCACTATGCAGAGAGAAAGAAAAGATGGTTCTTGCCACTAATATTTTGGTCATTTTCCACTAACCCCACCATAGATATTATAGAATAGGAACACATTCATAGAGGTTTTGAAAGTATATGCCTTGACTTGACTGTGGCTATAACATCAACTGCCCGTGATTTATCTTTCATGGCATGGAAAGGATTCATTTGACAAACAGGAAAAAAGAACAATTTCCCAGAATTGATTATTTTTTGTTTCTTTCATGAAGGTGGAGTAGTGGAAGTTGAAACTTGAACCGACTTTGGATGTAAGAAAGGGACTGGAACAGGATTTGGGACCCAGATGCCTGCTGGAATGATCGATGAGAACATGAAGTTTGCACATTCTTACTTACGTTTATGAAGAGGTGTTTGATTCGGGCTTGACGATTGTTGGTGCGTTAGGTGGGCGTGCTCGGAAGATTGCTGAAGCAAGTGATATGGGCATGATGCACAGTGCCTTGGATTGAAGGAACTGCATGGCAGCTCCAACGTCTTCTTCCATCAACTTAGCTACTTCTTGTTCAGTGCCATCATTTGACCAGTTTTCCCAAGCTTGCTGATTGGCTCCTCCTTCAACGCCCTCTCCCTTAATCACATCAAAACCACAACTCAATAGATATGATAAAAACTTTTATCGAGAAAAGAAGTGTTAAGTAACATTTCTTCATACCTGGACTGAGGATAGTGGTACATCAGCTACGAGCTGAGCCACAGCGCCTGCTGCACCTAGTCTGCTCATACTCAAAACCTGATTGAATGTACAAATGAAATCAAAATTATCATCATGGAGGTCAAGAAAAAGAGCAGTGTTATATTAGCACAAAAAACGAACCACGAATAAATTACAAACACTCACAATGACGGTGTAACTTTGTGAAAGGACATTTGTTATATGGGTTTATTCGTGCTGGACATGAATCGTTACAAAAAGAGTTTCCCCGGGAAATAATATTAAAACAAATGAGAACAGAAATACCAGTAGTATAGTTCATGTCCCTTTCTAGTTTCTATATTCAACAATGACTTAATTTCAAGCGTGCAGATGCCGACGCAGCCAGATCCACCTCAGGCTTGACATCTTAACTAATTCATTTAAACAAGTACTTAAAGGTCTTCAATTATGTCTAGGATAGTCAAAATGTCAGGGCCCTACCATGATATGAAGACCTCCTAATGAGAAAATTTATACTTGTTGAAATCAGACTTGCCTTTTGGAAAGCGAGGTGAGGTCTATTAATGCTTAAAAAACACATAACCAGAAAGATAATTTCAAATAATATAGGAATATAATCAATCTCCTCTAGATCATAGATCTGTTTGAATAGCAACTGGCAACTTAAATTTCAATACCTTGACTTGGAGTCTTAGAAACTTCACATAGTCCACAATTTCATCAAGCATCGCTGCCCTATCCGTCTGCATGAAATTTGGAATATGTTAGCATATGTAAAATTTGGAACTGCAAAAGGATTTTCTAAGGTAAAATCAATCTTATGGTTTCAGAAAGAAACCAAGTCCTTAATGTTGTCTATATTACAATTCCAACTATTAATCTTATGAGTTAAGAATCAGAGGATTCAATAATAGATACATGCAGAACCAGCGCTGGTTGCAGATCCAGTAATTGGTAATTTATGGAGAGGAACAGAAAGAACTCAAGTTGACTGTATGTAAATGCGCTAAGTATATGCAAACCTTGTTGCAGGTGGGAACCAATTCCTGCAAAGCCTTCACCCTCTCCGTGATTCTTACTCTTCGCAGCTGCATCCAGAAGGCAAATGATCAAAAGCTGATAAAACTTATACCAACATAGAAACAGCTAGAAAAATGTTGAATTTTTTTTCAAGCATAATGAATTACTTATTCTGCAACTTAAACATGGAGATTTTTTCTAAAAACTGCACGGATGCTCATATACAGATTCCATAAACAGAAATATTGAACAATAGAAATGAAGTTTACCCGCTCAGCAATACTGTGTGGATCGGTGGCTTGCCCCCGTCTTGCTCGCACCCTTGGCCGTATGCCAGGCGGTTGTGGTACAGCTGATGTTGGGTGGCTATTGAACTGTGCAAAAAGTTTAAACAGCAGATGGAGAATGTTTAGTAGACAATGCAATGATGAGAGTTTTTGAAGGAAGAAATTATCCATTAAGTAAAGCGTATAGTATTCATTAAAGAGAAGGCCGGCAAAATTATCAATCTGTCAACATGGGCTGCCTTTGCAAGTGATACATGCAGGTATTAATTCATCTTCTTTATAGGGTTTAATCATTTTTAATGCATGCCTAATTACTTGCACATTCAAGGCCTCTTAGACTGTTCTTTTACAAGGTCTTGGGAATTTCGGCTGGAATCAGTACAGATAAGAAAAGTCAAGTGCACAGTTAACTGATAGAGTTCAACCTAAGAATCACTCCCAACAACAAATTTTAAGCTCACAAGCAAAAAATTTAAAAAGCTTAAGCTTTATTGTGGAAGATCTATTCTACATATCATGGAATGAGTCAGAAACTCAGAATGTAAAATCCAGTTCAAAAATCATTTAAATGAGCAGCACCTTCACGGTTGTTCAACACTTTTTAAGACTTGTTCTTGCACCAAATTAATTGATCCAATTCAACTAAGGCTGGCAACATAGTTTAAGATTATAACCTCAGCCAACAGAAAATCAAGTCAAATAAGAAAATTCAATGTTTTCTTTTTTATTTTGACCCCAGAAAATCATAACAAAGACCCGCTTATTTGAGAAGAAATCAACATTTGACTAGGATCATTCCTAAGAGGAACTCTTTTCTTTTGGTAAGACTTGAACAAGAAAAGAGAAGGCATTCCCATGTTAGTCATGGACTGCAGCAAATTAGCAATTATACAAGCGCAGGCTGACACTCATCTTTCCACTGAATATTGACGAAGACTACCGCTACAAATGCTGAAAAACCAACTAGGAGCTATTGTACCAATAAGCATTTAGTGCAGTGATACTTTCTCCTAAAAGGCATAACATTTTATACACTTCAAACCAAAACCAAAACAAAACATATCCTATGATATTGTTCAAGCAATTAAATGAAGCCCCTTCGGTCTTGAATACTATTATTCTTCAGTGACCATGAATCTAACAACCAAAATAAATTAATATCCAATCAAAAAGGGCAGTTCTCAGTCTCAGAACTAAATGGAAAGGAGAACAATAAGGTAGTTCTATTTGAGATGTCCAGATATTACATAGTGGAATAACAAAAGCTGTAGGCGATAGCAAGGATATTTTAGTCCAAAAATCGTTATGTTTTTTACCTGGTGAATTTGAGTTGGTCCAGGAGGTGGTGCTGTAGGCCGGATTGATGGATGAAGATGCAATTGTCCAAACGTTGGAAACATGCTTGTCATGTGCACAGAATCTCTCCCCTGCCACCACAATTACAAGTTAAAAATTATATAAACATTTGGACCAAATTTACCTTTAGCAAATACCTCTCACGTCTCCAAGTTTGTTTTTTCAAACTTCGATGGGTTGTCGATATATCTAATTTGTAAGTTCATGAGAGAAATATATTACTAAACCATATCAGTGTTTTTCCACACTAGCTTAGCAAGAAATCAAAATGTTTCCTGAATTGGAAAACAAAATAACATATTAGTATTATCATGTTCTGAAACCACATATATATATGTGCCGCAATCTTTATTCTTTACCAAAACAAAATCCAGAAAAATGACAACACAAATGCTAAAATACAGATGCTAAAACCAACTCAAAAGTACTAACAAACAAGCAGACAATTCCACTTAGAAAACCACCAAGCTAGACACGGAAAAAAACGAAGTAGATAATAAGTCAACATTTAACAACAGGATTTAGACAAAAAACCAGAATAACAGCAACTAGAGAGGGGAAAAAAAGAAGATACAACTTACCAATAGTCCAGAAGTGATAGAAGAAGGAGAAGCATTATTGATATTATTGCTGTTGTTGGTATCTAAAGAACTACTGCTATCATCTTGCTGTTGCCTTAAGAACCCATGATGCTCTAAGTTCAACCCTAAAGGCATCATTCCCATATTGTTGTTAGCACTACTCCTCATTAACCCAACATTAGCAGCACTGGACCCTAACTGCAACCCCATCATGGGCAGGCTGGTGGACCCCATAACCTCACCACCACCACCACCACCATAACCAGGTGTCTGCACTGCCAAGATCTGCTCAAAGAAATCATCTCCTAGCCCTTCAGGTGGAGGATTTCCTGCCATGCATGCAAATATATGGCTCAAGATACCACTACTATCAATAACTAAAGACTTTGTACAGCTTGTTATGTATAAGCAGCGGTGGTAATAAAACTTAGCAAGAAGACTTGTTGTGCTTTGTTTTGTGTTGTTTCTTTGAGGAAGAGAGAGAATATGTATAGAGAGACAACGGAAGGGAATATATGGGGGATGTTAATGGGAAACCCAAGAAAAAGAGAGTGTTTTGTTGGTGAATTGGGTGGCAGATCCGGAGCCCAATAACCCGGAAAGTGAGTTGTGGATTTCAAGAAGGGATTAATGGGTATGGCTGTTACTATTCCTACTATTATTTTGATATATAATTTGTTCAGTAAAAAGGGTTGGAGAGAAGCTGAGAAGAATATGCAGTGTTTTTTTTTTTTTTTTTCTATTTTCTTTGTTTATGGGGTCTGACTTGTGGTTAGTGCTGTGTCTGGTCTTGGCTTTAAAAGGGTGAGACTTTGAGGGACTGGGAAAAGTTTGGTTTTTTTTTTTTTTATGTCTGAATTCTGCACTGTCCTAGCTAATGCTGCTCACTACCTGGCCCTACGCGCTCAGAAAGGCTGTGATTATTACATTTTCATTTGTCTCTAATGGCAATTAATCAATCTACCATTATTTCCCACCTAATTCATCTGTTTCTACTCTCATAACTGTCAAGTTCTCAAATTCCTGATAAATAATGGTTTTCGAGAGGAAAGTCAGATTCCGTGAACCAAACATCATCAGCCTAAGAGGTATTGTCCCTTTTAGCATGGGTTCGGAGCTCCCCGGCCCTAGTGGTGTATTGTCCATCCAGGTGCCTTTTGGAGGGAGAGAAATGACTTGTTTGCATCTCTTGATTCAAAAGTTCAATACATTATTGCTACAAAAGTTTTCTTGTTAAAAGAACTAAAAAAAAATGCATATGATTAAAGTTGGAATTAAAAAAAAAAAAAAAAAAAACAGGGAGTTCTTTATAGTCTGAGTATATCATATTGAAATTTATATAATATGAAAGAAAAAAAGCGTTGCATGTCATCCACATGTAAATGACATTAAATTGTTTATGCTGTAAAGGAAGATGATAGATAAATGAATGGACAATTAATGACTAGATGATCATATTGTAATGTGATGTTAGCATGACTCGTTTGAATTTCTAACTTTTGAACCAGGAAAAAAAAAAAAAAAAAAACAATAACTCTAAAGTTGCTTTAAAAAGCCTGTCTACTACCTCTAAAAAGTTGGATCCTTTTAGCAGGTATTATAGAGTTACATTATTTTAGCCTTCCCCTGCCTGTGTGGAAAACAAAAAAGAATCAAAAGTTGCTTGATTTGTGACATTTCTGAATAATAATGTAATGGAATTTCCTCGTGTAATAATCCTATCTACATCTCCGAGTGTGGCTTGTGTTACTCTACCCTTCCTAGCAATCCATCCACTAACACAAGCAGGGACAATAATGGTGGTATGTGACAAAATTTGATATCTTCATTTCTTTAATTATAGCACTATGATAATAATAGAGAAAACTTTCTGTCTCACCAACTTTTCCCATCAGACTTTGCTCATTCTTTTGTACTTGAAATCTATATGGTGTCTGTCAATAGAATTCTCATTCCTACTGGACATCATCTCTTATCCTCTAGAAAATTCAGTCTTTCAGTCATCTCGGTAGTTGGATTATTAACAAATCTAGATATAATTAAGTTTTTATCAGCTCAAATGAAGAATGCTTAACATCTTGTCATTTCTGGTAGGCTTATCATTAGAATGTCAACTTTTACTTCAACAACATTTTGTGGTACGAAACCCTTGTGAAGGATCACCGAGAAAGAAAACAACAATAAATGTTCGGCCTGCTTTAACCCGAATAGGCTCCAGCTTTGAGTAACAAGTCCGGCACCAATGGTCCAAACCAACGATAATGAAGGGAAAGGGAAGGGAAAGTTTTGAGGTGAATAAATTTGAGAAACGGGCATAGAATAGATCCTTCATCACCAAACTCGAATTCTGGAAAAAAAATTTATGCAGGGCTTAGTACAGATAATACAGACTTCGGATGCAAAATCAGTATTTTTTTTCGCTAAGGTTGTGTGCCAGCTGACCTAGTTTGTCGACTTCATTATCAGGCATCATGAACAATAGACTAAAAAGCATGGTGGTTTAACCGTTACCAAATCAAGATTTCTCACTGATCTACATCGCAGGATATGAATAATTTGATCTAAAGAAGAGGACAAAACAGCTGAAAATTGAGAAAACGTAGCAACTACATATGTCTACAAACTCATACACTCTCCTTAGAGCTAGAGACTTCAGCGTTTGGTTTCTTCTCTTCACTGATTGCTGTAGGGTGCTCTCCAGGTGTCTCTGATACAGAATCAGGTTCCTTTTTAAGCTCAGACTCAAACTCTTTTGCTGCCTGCAAAATACCATGAATTAAATACATTTATGTTCTTAAAAGAGAACAAGGGGGGATAGCAATATAAATAAATCGTCACCAGAAATTGTCAAGAGCAACACCAGCTAATTCTCACAGTATAGACATATAGGTTTAGAAGCAGGCTTCAAAAAAGAAAACACTAGAGCACAGATTATCTTTAATGAAAGACCCAATTTTATTGTTATTTTTTCTTCAAGTCCTTACTAATGGCTTCTTCAGCCATCTTTTATTATTTTTATCTCTACCAGAAATTCACCGGAGGGTCCACAGGAATCCTTATAAAATTGATCACTCAATCACAGTTCATTAACTTGCATAGAATTTAAAATGAGTCCATTATGATATTTCTTTTCAAGTTTTAATTTGACAGACAAAAATGAACCAGATCAGTAACGCTTTGTTTTTACAAGTGCGCTGCTTGATTGATAATTTCAACAAGCCAACTTATTTTCGAGAATATCCTCCTATAACTTGCCATGAAATAAATTACCCATCTGTGTACAATTTATAGATTCAATATCAATTGGGATTCCGCATGCCCACAAGTAATATGACCAGCCAATTCCAACACTGACGACAACCACACTCTAAAAATTTCTTTACTTTTCTATGGTGCATGTAGCCTTGGCAATCAAGGAAAAAAAAAAGATGCATTTGAAACTTGCAAGCATCAGTAAACCAAAAAAGCATCCAAAGACGACCACAAGCAAGAAGTTTGAGTCCTCAAAATAGAAATGATGCAAACAAACATACAAAAGCATGAGACAGCTTCTTTGGTTTGGAAAGGTCATATGTGACTAACATTTAAAAAGAAAAAAACAGGGCAACGAATCATCATAAGCATGATGTCATCCAAAAGCAGAGTGTTTACAGCACAGGCTGCGTCAAACGTCCTTAATGTCAATGTTCAGGAAAAAAAGACATTGATATCGTTGAAATGCCTTAAACAAGTATAAAACACTGCCATGCAAATTTACAAGGAACTCTCTGGTTACAGAGGATTCTGATGGAGGGGAGGCTAAGTTGATGCATAGTTTTTCTAGCAATAAATATCTGTCGGAGAGAGTTGGGAAAAAGTAAACTTCAAAAACTCAGGGAAAAGATCTGAGACAAACCCTTTTCTTTTGAGAAGTCAAGGAAATTCAAAGTCAGCCTACCCTCAATCCCGATATAGGCCCAGTTGGCATAAGGTAAAAAAGAAGAAGAAAAAAAATCGTTCCCAATCAATACTTTAGAGTTACTACTGATATAATTTACTCATCTAGGAAATGAAAAAAACAGAAACCTACTTGCAAACAGCAAGCATGTAAGTCTTCATGTACCTATTCGACAGAAGTCACTTATTCAATCAAGTCCTAGTTAAAAGCAAATGTTCCTTGAAAGCATTTAAAATGGACAGATCTACTGTTGTTTCAAAACTTGTGTGACCTAAAAGTGGTTTGAATCCGAAATTGTCAGCATTTGAAAGGTCCCAAAATAAGTTACTTTATTTTTCATCAATGCCAGTCTTTAATTTATACCGTACCAACTCAAAGCTGCAACTTATATTCTTTTTACTTTTTTGAACAAAGCTGTAAATTCTATCTGTGTCCATCTTTCACTGACGCCTTAGGGTTCTGTAAAAAGAGAAACTATAGGGATGCATGTGCATGAGTGTGTGCGCGCGGGACTTTGTGTAGGCATAGCAAGACAGTTTAAGAGGACATATGGTATCGCAATTGCAGCTCCATTTGCCCCAATCACATTTTCAGAACTGTTTGGTTCTGAAAAGCAGCTGATGGGGCACACCAGAAATCAATGTTTTTCTCCGTTTTGAAAAAGCTACAATATAATGCTTTTTTGGCATTAAGGAAAGAAAACACTACTATGATTGCAAATCCTCCTTGAAAATTACTATTATACCATCAAAAACACAAATTAACCAAACATCCTTCTCACCCAACTTTATCTCCACGGGTGCTTTTCTCCAAACCCTCTTTTTTTTTTTCACATCAAAACCGCAAAAAAACCAATTGCTAAGCAAAACTCGCCCCAACCTACCCAAAACAGATTGGCTACCATTAATTGATATTAACCATCAAATTATCTGGTTTGCAGCCTGGTCCATGTATGCCAATTTGTTTGGGAAGATCCATTTACTTTAAAAGTTTCATTGACCAGCCCAAGAACATTCTTTGCACAGGGCTGAATGCAAAGTTCTGAGGCCTAGAAAAGGTAAAAAAATTTATGCAATGTCAAGATGGAGCTCCACCAAATGGGTGATAGGGAAGAACTGTTTTGTATAAAGATATTATAAGCAGAAAGTGAGTTTAAGGATTCATTTCTATTATGTTGTGTCTACAAAAAGGCAATTACAAAGAAAAACTTGGGAGGCATGGGTTCAGAAATCAACAGTAATAACACATTAGGCTTTATAGCTTTTCCCTGCCAACTTGGTTAACATATTAACATTACATGGTCCATGTCTTAATAATTAAGCCCTAATCCTTATCTTAATTACTAAGTGCAAATGAGACCAACGGAAAGGGGAAAGCAAGCATACTAAGGATACAAATTCAGTGGAAGATGAAACTAGTAAACACCTGATAAAGCACAGAAACGGGTGCTGGAAAATTGAGGAAGGGCGGTGGGGGCTTTGAACTCGAGTAATATGACTACCAATAAACCAAACTTCTAATTAATCCTAGATCTTAAAGGCAAGATGAAACTACTCCAAGCATTGTCTCCGAAAAAGTAAGGGATTGCAAAATAGAAAACAGATAGTCAACCAACATGTCCATAGATCCGAGATTATAGAAATGCACATAAACCAGAGAACATCGACTGCCATACAAATAGCCCCAAATAAAACAATCCCAGAACCAATAATTGAAGCTACATTGATCAGACCATTAAGATCAGAAGATGTATGAACAAAGTTTATAACTTCTCAGACTAATTTCCAATCATCGAGACCAAGATCTACAATCCAGAAACCCCATTAAATCTAATGCATCTATTTGGGATATCAAGGGTGCATTTAACTCATATCAAACCAACATAGCAGACATATGTTGCAAGAACCTACCTTGAACCACTTTTGTCCCCCATATTTTTCTTAAACACCCAAAACAAATCAACCATAATTGAAACAATTAAGTAACAATCTTTCATTTCCCTTTCTGTTCTTTTCCTCATGTTCAATTTCGGGTCTGACGTGAAATTCACAAATTTAACTAGTAGTTGGTTCAGTTATATTAAATTTCCAATCATTTTCACTACCCAGACACCTAAACAGCACAAAAAACAATAAAGTTCAAAACTTTATTGAAAACCAAAGAAAGCCAGAAGGAACCACTAACCTGTTGGAAGCTTTTGACAGTCTTGCCAATACTCTTTCCCACTTCAGGCAATTTCTTGGGCCCAAAAACCAAAGCAGCCACTCCAGCAATAACAACCAATTCGGGAACTCCTAGACCAAACAAAGCATTGCAAGTTAGACCCCTTTTAGCCCTCTGACTTCTACGTCTTGTTTTGCCAAGAACCAGAGAATTACAGGACTTGCTGGTTTTGTTGAAGAAGGCAGTGGTGTTAAAGAAGGTGGATTGTGAAGAAGAGAAGGGAAGACAAGGTGGGGATTTTGGAAGAGACAGGGTTATTGCTGAGATCTCCATGATCATGTTTTTTTCTTTTTTGTTGCCTTTTTGGGTCTTGTGGGTTTTGGGAGATTTTTACTTACTGGGTTTGGGGAGAAGGGGATAACATGATGATATGGTGGGGTTTGAGGTTTTTTGGATTTTTTTTAGCTTGTGTTTTTGGTGTTTTGTTTTGTGGATTTTGAGACTGCTAGATATTTTGGTTAATTTCTTTGTTAATTAATTATTAGCAATAGCTTGGAAAATAAAAATACTTTCTTTTTTGTTTTTTTGGTAAACAAACAGAGCCTCCAAGCTTGAACCTTGTCTTAAAACTTGCGTTTAATTCGATTGGTTTATGATTAAAACCTCAAAGATGGAATAATTAAAAATAAATAAATAAAAAATATTGCATTCTGACTTCTCTGAAGTTAGGCCAAATAATTCCGTGATAAATTTCCCTTCATTTCATTTTTGTGAGGGGTTAATTGCACATTTGCACTGATTAGGGTTCATTTGGGCAATGTGCACACTTGATGAAGGGTTTGTGTTTTTTCTTATTTAACAAACAACTAGGCACTCTGCGTGCAGCATGTCCAATTATCTTTTGTTTTGGGATATATATATAAATGTGTGTGTGTTAAATGTGGAGTTTTTGATAAATTTTAAACTTTTGTTTTTTTCCTTTATCTCAGCTGTGATGCTGCCAGGTAAAATACATGGTAGTTTTAGTTAATAATATCAACGTTATTAACAAATTAATATTTATTTAAAAAATAATTATTCAAATATTATTATTAAGCACAAATTCTTGTAATAAAGATAATTCTATCAATTAATTATCTATTTGGAATTTACATAGTAAAACTCTAAAAAGAGAGAGAGAGAGAGCTATATATATTCTCTACCTATAATCATTTCCTCAAAGCTCTCTTTATCTATTTTATTCTTTATTTTTTTATATATTTTATTTAATATACAATTGAGTATAATTTTTTGTTTGAAAATTTATATCTCTATTACATTCATATGCATATATACCGATTTTTTGTTTATGAATTTTATTTAAGTGTAATTTTTTATTTGACAATTCATATCCACTAATTTTTACTTACAATTAAGGTGTAATTATTATTTTTCTTTTTTTTAAACCCCATCGTTTTAAACACTTTGGTTTTTTTAAAAAAATTAAAATTAATTTTAAAAAATAATAATTTAGTTTTTTTATTTTTTATTTTTTAAAAGATGGATCCTCCACAAATCACTAATCATGAAACAACAAAATTATCTAAGCATCCTTAAAATATTGAAAAGGATAAGGATAAAAAAATATATAACTATTAATATGCTTTGAGAATATAGGTACTCACTATTTATCTTATTAATATCCATTAACTTATTTTGTTTTTTTATTAATATATAAGGATTTAATTGTATAAACTTTTAAAAATAAATATCAAAATATCTATTCCAAAAAAACTGAGGATCAAAAAGCTTATAAAGAAATGATATTAAATGGATACTAATCGGTGGATAAACTAACGTGCATGGGTATGTATTAAATAAATATCAATTTTTTACGCTATTAACACCTACTTATTTATTTAGATATTTTCATTAACATATAAGGATCTAATTGCATAAAATTTAAAAATTAAGAATTAAAATATTTAAAAACAAACTTTGAGGATAAAAAAACTTATAAATAAATTACCAAAGTGAAAAAAAAACTAAATTTTAAGGATCAAATTTTAAAAAAAAATTATAAGGACTAGAAATGAATATTTTTGATAAATTAATTTTAGCCCATATTAAATGGTTACTAAAAGAACGAATAAACTAATGTGAATCGAATAAATATTTTTATAATAATTTTTTAATAAATAATAAATAAAATATTCTTTTTATGAGTGAAGTAAAAAATAAAATTAATTGATTGGATATCCCTCCATCCCTATTGCATAGTAGCTGCAAAACAAGCTGCTGATTGGTGATAAACTATGTGCCAAATAACATGATGGATCCGAGTTAGTGGGAAGATTTTAATGTTGATTAAGGTTGGCGCGCATTAGTTTTTATGGCTTAGGGAAAAAAAAAAAAAGAAGGTATTTTACAATACCTCACTTTTTTGAACTAATTAATTCTTCATTTCCCTGGGAAGACCAACACTAGCCTTCGAACCCTTGCCCTGCAAGATTGTGCATTTCACACAATCCAACAAGCTATAAGGAGGCTAGTGCAGAACCTGTACATTTTATAATATTTGACTAATGTAGTAACTTAAAACGACCTAATTAGCTTAAAGTAAAAATTCCTTTAATTATACGGAGAATGTATTATTAAAATCCTTAGATGAAAAGATTTAGTTTTGATTATTACATACATTGATTTAAAAATATATTGGTGGGCAAATAAAAAGTTAGCTTAAACTTTCCATAAATCTTTTATGTCCCTTGTAACAAATTATTTCATATTTGAGACTCCACTTTACTTTCAAAATGAAAAGGCACAGATATAGCAAGTATGTATATATATATATATATCGACTCCACAAAAATATCCTTTCCAGATACTAGGAAGAACGCAAAAGTACATTAAAAAAATAGAAGTCCAAAAACATTTTACACTTGGCCAAAATCTTAATCTAGTTTCTGAAATTGCAACTGTACGTGACAAACTGTGATTAAAGTGCAGTTACAACTCTTGGTCTTGGTGACTGCCCATAACCCATTAAGGAAGGTCTAAAAGTTGAGATTTGAGTGCCTGCAAAAATATCAGTCATCAGGGATTCTACCTTCATATGCCCTTACGTCCAGTTCTGGAACTTATGTACATGCATAAACTGTTAAAACTCCCAAGATTGCCACATCAAATTCTTGCCCAGTAGATCACCAATGGCTTCTAATCACCTACCCTCTTAGTTCTCTAGAAATAATATGCCCATGACTTTTGACTTGTGTTCCCTTGCCATTAAGATGTGTTTGTTATGCTGGATAAGACTGAATTTAAGACTAAATTAGACAGCATGGAACAAATTATACAGTGTTTGGTGTATGCATCGAATAAGACAAAACAAATAGTTAGAATAAAACAAATTATATAGTATTTGGTGTATATATTGAATAAAACATGACAAATAATACTATATTTGTTGCATATTTTGGTTGTCCAAAATTGCACTAAATATAAAAAAATTTTCCTACAATCAAAGTGCAACAAGCTTATTCAATATCACTTACAAAATTCTTACCCAATTGATCACAAGTGGCTTCTAATAATCGCCTCCCCTCATAGTTCTCTAGAAATAATATGCCCTTGACTTGCGTTCCCTTGCCATTGTGATGTGTTTGATATGTTGAGTAAGACTGGATTAGGTAGAATAGAACAAATGGTATAATATTTGGTATACATATCCAATAAGACATAATAAACAGTTAGAATAAAACAAAATTTATAGTGTTTGGTGTATACATGGCAGGACAAACAATACTATATTTGTTGCATATTTTGGATGTCCAAAATTATCGTGGAGATAAAATTTTAGTCCTACCATCAAAGTGCAATAAACTCATCAAATATTAAATACAAAATTCTTGCCCAGTCGCTTCTAATCACCTCCCTTTTTAGTTCTCTAGAAACAATATGCGCTTGACTTGTGTTCCCTTGCCATTGAGATGTGTTTGACATGCTGAATAAGACTGAACTAGATAGAATAGAACAAATTGTACAGTATTTGATATACACATTGAATAAAACAGAATAAACAGTTAGAATAAAATAAATTATATAGTATTTGGTGTACACATTAAATAAGACGTGACAAATAATACTATATTTATTGCATATTTTGAATGTCTAAAATTATCCTAAAGATAAAATTTTTATCCTACCATCCAAGTGCAACAAACTTATCCAATATGACATACAAAATTCTTGCCTGGTCAACACCAATGGCTTCTAATCACCTTCTCTCTTAGTTCTCTAGAAATAATATGCCCTTGACTTTGTTTTCTTGCCATTGAAATGCGTTTGCTATGCTGGATAAAACTGAACTAGATAGAACATAACAAATTATACGGTATTTGATATACACATTGAATAAGACAAAACAAAACAAACAGTTAGAATAAAATAAATTATATAGTATTTGATGTATACATTGAATAAGACAAAAAAAATAATACTATATTTGTTGCATATTTTGGATGTCTAAAATTGTCCTAAAGATAAAAATTCTGTCATACCATTAAAGTGCAACAAACTTATCGAACATCACAGACAAAATCATTATTTTTTAATTTTTCATATTATTTATTATCAATTAATCACTAATTTATTTTTTTAATTTAGTTGAATAAAGTTTGACCAAGTTTACTTATATTTTATTAAAAAGAATTATTATATGTAGGGGTTTAATTGCAATTTTTTATCAAGAAGTATATTGCAAATATAAAAAAAAGTTTCATTAAGGACTAAAATATTATGAAAATAAAATATAGAAATTAAAATAAATTGTTGAAATTCTTCAGGAACCAAAATAATTTTATTTTTTTTGCAAAAACTTCATCATGTCTAGTTTATACAAGAATATATGCTTGTTCATTATCCAATCCAAACCTATTAAAGGTAATCCAATCCAGTTCTATTTATCACATCATGTCTAGCCTACCAAACACATCCTTATCATTTGTGTGCAAGGTGTACTTCATTTTTGTTTTCTCTGCTTAATTTCCTCACCAGCCCCGAGTCCTTAACGGTTTAACCTCATAGATTGTAATTCATTACATAATTTTAATTTGAAACTATTTTCTATTTGAAGCTTCTGTTTGCCATAGCACTGTGTTTTTTTTTTTAAAGGTATTTTAGAATTCCTTTATTCATCTTAAGCAATTGAAGAGTATTGTAGACTCATCAATAATTCAATTAATATTCCACCACCACTAGCAACCTTTGAACCCTAGACCAGATGAATTGTGCAAACAGACAGAGCCTACAAAGGAGACCAATGTCATTTTCCACGTCTAAATCTTTTAGCGTGA